TTTAAAGGGGAAAAAACGTACAGATCACCATCAGCCCTCTGCGCAACCAGGAAGGGAGTCTAGTCGCTGGTCAGCAGGAAGTGAAGAGAGCGAGGAGAGGGAAGTTGCGGCTTTTGAAAAGAGAGAGAGACCATGCCCCAATTGGCTGGTATCTCAGCAGCTATAGGCTGGAGAAAGGGGAGACCTACCGCAACAAGGTTATTCCATTAAAGACATAATTAACGAGGCACCAATTCAGCAGGAAGCAGTTTGGAGATAAAAAACTGAACTCATGTTCTCAAATATGGCTTATGAACGTTCTTTTACATTTAAATGGGGATATGATATAGATATGTATAATTTGCATTCGTATAGATTTTGCTTTATTGATAGAGATTTAAGGTCAATTTTGTTATATATATATATATATATATATATATATATATATATATGCATTTTTGATCTTTATTAAGGTATTGTGATTGTGTAGTTCATTTAAAAATGTAATGTATATAGGTTGTTAATGGATAATCATTAATAATAGTCAAGTTTGTAGTCATGTTAGTTAGATTTTCTAGCACTATAGATATATATTTCAGTTAGATAGGCATTCTTCATATCTTTCTTAGACTACAAAATATGCTATTTAATGTTTTAATACCTTAGAGTTTTTCGTGACAATGATACACTCTGCTCCTGGCAGCACCAATCTACATCAGGAAGAAGATGGGCATCAAATAGGATCCTTCTGGAGTGTGATAGACATTTGGGCAAGAAACTGCTCTTGCCTAAACGATTGCATAAAGGACACAGAGAACACGTAGAGAGAGGACTACCGAACTTGCCTAAAGTTGAGATGATCTTTCGGGTTTCCTGATTTATGAAAGAGTCTGCAAGACATTCTTCAAGACAAGCAGATAGTGACTGCCTTTGAAATGTCCTGCTTCATGGAAATGTCTGCTGGAAATTATGGGCCGGTTGACTGAAGATGGATACCCCAACAGTACAGAGGAATGTTGGTAGACTGTACAGGCAGCGAGAGGTCTCTGTCATTTCGAGAGATTGAATATTGCTTACTTTTTTTTGCTTATGTAATATTGTATTCTTCTAGAGTCTTTGATGGAGTTGAAGAATAGATTGATAGTTATAGTTTTCCATTATTATGTAAAAGATAAATAGATATAAATATTGTAACTGTAATTTTTGCTTGATAACTGTTTTATTATATGTAATTTTGCTATATTAAAGTTAAAGATTCCGTCCTTGTTTAAACATAAATAGGGGAGATGATGGAGTAAGGTCATTGGTTAATTCAATAAAGAAACTGCTTGCCCTGATAGGTTTGAACATATGTGGGAGGAGTAAAAAGAACAGAATGCTGGGAGGAACAGTAAGTGAGCTCAGAGACACCATGCTCCCCTCTCCTGGGCAGACACGATAGCTCTGCTCTGAGACAGAAGGCGATGCAGCCAGCCACAAGGTCAGACATGCTGAATCTTTCCTGATAATCGCAGCTTGTGGTGATACATAGATTATTAGAAATGGGTTAAGAGGCTAAACTACTGGGCCAGGCAGTGTTTAAAAGAATACTGTTTGTGTGTAATTATTTCAGGACATAAGCCTCCAAGGCAATTGTGGTGCTGGGGATGCAGCCCTGCTGCTCAAATTACTACAGAATGGCACTCAGTCGTGTGGACAACTGAATCCACAGAAAGCCTGAGAAAGCTCGGGAAAGAGTAAAGCATGTTTTCTTGGTAACAGCGATTTCTCGAGCCTGCTCTGCTTGCTAGAAGCAAGCCAGCACACTCATTTCAAAGAGGCTTCCTGAATAAGCTTCAGCTGCAAAACCCTGCAGCACTTAAGAGGTCCTGCCACGAAACATTTAAATGGTATTGATAAAGCCAACTGAATGCTTGTTTGTTTTCAGCAGTAGCAGGAAAAAAAAAATGTGATGTTTTAAAATGCCGGAATTCTGGGCCATCCTGCCAGAACAAACTCTGACTGTTTGAGTCAGGAGGGCCAGCTACAAAGAGAGGGCTTGAGTGTTGTCTTTGGCAGCTTGTTTGATGGCAAGGACCTTGAAACACTGTAGACTTGTGGCACTGAATGCGGCTCTGGCCGGTACCTCAGCCATAAGGTTGGAATGGCAGAAAGCTAAGGAATAGGCTACATCTAGCTGGCAAAGCCACCTTTTTATCATATTGAGATTGCTGTGTAAATTAAGGATTCATGTGGTCAAAAAAACAAAGAGAGATATTGAGTAAAGAGAGATTCAAAGAAAAGAAAATTTTTAAATGATTTACAGTGTGTTAAAAATATGTGCAGGCTAAAAGTTGAAGTTCTTAAAGTTAAAATAAAATGAAGAGAGTTGTTGGTTGCAGTAGTACACACCTTTAATCCCAACACTTGCGAGGCAGAGAGAGATTGACCTCTGTAACTTCAAGGTGTGGTAGCACATACCTTTAATCCCAGTGCCGAGAAGGCAGAGACAAACAGGTCTCTCTGAATTCAGGTGTAGTACCATACACCTTTGATCCCAATGCTGGGAGGCAGAGACATGTGGATCTCTGAAACTTCAAGGACAGCCTGTTCTACAGAGTTATTCCAGGTCAAAGATACAGAGAACCTGTCTCAAAAGGCAAAAAGTAAAAAGGAAAAATAAATTAGAGCTTAAATTGAAGCTAACAAAGATGGAAAATACACAGAGAATTTTGATACTGTATGCTATTGTGCTCTGTTTGAATCATTTGAATGCTGAAGAAGGAGCAATAGCTGCTAAAAGATATTTGTTTATAAATGCTGCTGAACTAATCCCACATAGATATTTTGAAAGTGCCTTGACTTTAAAATTTGGATCTAAGGACATGATGCTTTGGAAAGGAGGTTCTTATTTTGTTTTCAGAGAGGGTGAGAGGCTGTAGGCTGCCGCTATCCCAATATGGTATTACGGATCACGACTTTCCTCATATGACCTCCGTCCACAGAGATGTCAGAAAAATCCTTCCCTAAGAGGGCAAGTTCTTTACAAATGAAAGATTATACAACAGAAGAGACATGGAAGATTTATTTGGGCAAGCTGTTGAAAGGATAAAGTGATGGAAGAAGGTCATTGCTTAATTAAATAAAGAATCTGCTTCCCTTGATAGGTTAGAACATAGGTGGGAGGAGTAAAGAGAACAGAATGATGCTAGAATGAGGAAGAGAGCTCAGAGATGCCATGCACCCTCTCCCGGGCAGACATGGGAGCTCTGCTCCCTGAGGCAGATGGCAATGCAGCCAGCCACCAGGTCAGACATGCTGAATCTTTCCTGGTAAGCACAACTCATGCTGCAACATACATTATTAGAAATGGGTTAAGAGGCTGAAAATACTGGGCCAGGAAGTGTTTAAAAGAATACAGTTTTTGTGTTCTTATTTAGGGGCATAAGCTAGGTAGGCGACCATGGTGCTGGGGACGCAGCCCTGCTGCACAAATTACTACTATAAAGGGGGAAATTGAAGAAGGGAAGGAAGAAGAGAGAGAGAGAGAGACAGAGAGAGAGAGAGAGAGAGAGAGAGAGAGACAGAGAGAGAGAGAGATGGAAGAATGGATGAATTCAATCATTCATTGGAAAAATGAGTGAACCAAAGAATGAGGAGACCCAGAAGGATAAAATGTGCTGCATTCCCTGTGAGAGTCAGGTCATATGAAAGATGGACATTGTTTTGCACTGAGGAGGAGGATTTTTCATTTTGCCTTCCTTGTGCTCCAAGCCCAGCCACAAGAGTGATGATGAGGACTGGGAGAAGAAGAGGTGAGGGTGTACCAGAATTGCCTGGTATAAGTTATCACCCAAATTGTAGCCAAATCACCTGACCTGAGACAGCTGATCTACATCCGGGACCCTAACTGGCAGTTTGACAACTCTAACATTTTAACCAAGTTTGTGAAGATCAAGGAAGCAAAAATCGCCCCGTTACAGGATGGCAGGATCCTTACATGATGGGAGTCAGACATCAATACCATACTGGTATTTGGGGGTCTGATGGGTTTGTGGGGTCTTTGCCACACTCCACCAAGAATCAGGGATTCCCTCATTTACTGATTTGATGGAGATCGGTGCATTCAAAATATGTGTGCATGTCACACATTAGTGGGCATCAATGTGTACATGTTTATCCTGTGTGTGGATGCGTCTGTCGATGAGATTTATAGCCCAAGTCCTACAGAACATGATCAATTTTAGGGAACACTGTTTTCCAGATATGACAGGGCAATTATTTAAATGAACTCACAAGGGTTGGATGGCATGCAAAGGACCAATGAGAGTTCAAGGAATACCTAATGCAGGCATGACAAAGTAGGTGGCAGACAGAATTCTGACAAAAGGAAGTAGATAGCGTGACGTCCATCCCACTGCAGAAGAGCAACTGGGCGGAGACACTTTTCTCTAAGCAGGAGGCTCCTGGTCACTCAACATGCTCCAGTGGAGTTCACACATCCAGTGACTTACAGCCAGTACGAATTAAACTATTCATCAAAGGAAACCTAATTTCCTCTGATTTTGAGTATACATTTGTGTCCCTTCCTGATTAATCTACTCTTTATCCTCTTAAGTCCCAATACCTCACTCTGATATCTGTCACATCTTTCCAGTTGACATGTTTTTCCCTCAAGCTTTATCCCGCCCCGAGATCCTACAACTTTTGTCCCCTCTCCACTACTCCCTAGACAGCCATCTTGTCCTTTACCACACCCAGCATTCCCAGTCCATCCTCTCCAAGGGGAAAGACCATAAATCCTGCTTTGTTTTGAGGCATGTATTTCTGTGATGTCCCATCCACCAAACATGTTCCATCATTCACCAAAGAACAAAACATGTTCACAAATTTTTATTTTTCGAGCAAGAATATTCCATTGGAAAAAACTACCAGGATTAATAGAAGACCTGCGGTATCTCTGAAAAAAAAAACACATTCCCCAAACACAGTTTTAAGTGTGCCCCTCAAATTTTGAGAATTTCACTTTAACAGATCTTCACCAAATCGTCGACATAGATATGGAAGTCATTATTAATCTTGATGAAATACACAGAAGTTTTGTTGGGAACTTGGCAAATAATTTTACCTATCTCTTGGGTTCCATCTTTTTTGTTGTACTGCACACCTTTGCCTGCCAAGGAATCCCTGCCTAATGCCAAAATCACCTCTTCTGGAGGACATTCAGGCATGATGTGGACGTTGCCTTCAATGGAGACATCAAGATGGTGGTAAAGGTACAGGACTGGATCATTCTCCTTGACAATGTAGAAACAGGTCATCCTGGTCTGCACCTCATCTGGGACCATGACACTGCACTCCTCCTTAGAGCCTGGCATGATGTGGAGGTTGCCTTCAAGGTAGTCATCCAGGAGGTGGTAAATATACAAGACCGGATCTTTCTTGTAGGTAATATAGAACCAGGTCTTCATGATTGGCACCTCCTCTAGGACCATCCCATTCCAGTCTTCCTTAGAGCCATTTGTGCCCGTGAATGTATGTTTCACTGCTCTGCCAACTATGGTGTTTGACAGATGAGTGTCTGTCACCTGAGGAAATGGCACATTATTAGTCAGGATCTTAAGGTTTAAAATCCTTTCATCGCTGTGAAGCTCCAAGCCATAGACACAATCAATCCCATCATATTTCAACAAATAGAGAGAGGGATATGTTGGCAGTTGATCTAGAATGATGGCTTTCCACTGGGTGACTGGTTCATTGGCTTCCTTCCAGCCATGAGAAATTCGGCGGCCAACAATATTCTCCAGGGCCTCAAAAGGCTTACTCAGTTTTTGCTTCTGGAGAGTTGGCCCATTCTTCTTCTGGAGAGGTGGCATGCATCTCATACTAAGAGGCATCTTTATCATGGTGGTAGATTTACTGAGATAGGCCACACACTCCTGTTCCACTGTCTCTTGTCTCTCTTTCTGTGCTTGGGCTTCATAGCTGCCAATCTCTGCATTGGAAGAATTCTTCAGTTTCAATCAGACACAAAGTGGTTTCCTCCACCATAAGTGCCTGCAAGGTTAAGAAGGGGAGGATGCGATGTCAAGATTCTTTTCTGGCAGATCTTTGGGGAAGGTGATAAAGGCAGTGCTCAATAGATGTGGGCTGCCCAAATGTAATTTGGTCTTAAGAAATTCATAGGAAAATTATCAAACTATTGTCTACAGCTCAGTATATGTGTATCAGAGACATATTCCTGCTGCCCAAAGGCAATGGACCTCTACTGAGAAACCTAATTCCGGACTGACTGTGTCAATGAGAGGAGACTGGATGCCTATGCCCAAAGTGAGAAAGAAAAATCTGAACAGATGGCAAAGAATTCGAAGGACAGCCACTTCTCTCCTTCCCACTCAAGCTGTTGGTTAGGTGGTTGATCCAAAACCACCTGCCAAAGGTCATGGCACTCCAGTCCACTGGTTCTATGTATTGTGTCTCCTGATCCATACCCAGGTTGATTACATAAAGCCATTCCATGTCTTCACTAGAGAAGTGACATTTGTGAGACAACCTGCAAAAATAAAGACTCATTAATCTGGGCAACAGCACCATTTAGAAATAATTAATATCTTTTAAAACACATATGGACAAAGAGGATCTTCGCCCCTTTCGTGAACTGATGAATTGGACATTGATAGCAAAGATAAAGTGGGAAGAATACCTGGCATTCACTGTCCCCACAGCTATCAAATATAGAAGCTGTTAACAACATAAATTTTAGACTCACAGGAGATTTGAAGGAAACCTCTCTGGGACTACAGAGGTCCATGGTTCTTCCTAAACATATTTACCAAAAGAAAATGTCTTGGCTCTCCAGATTCCATCTTCTGGAAATGTTCAGCTGCCTAATCCTGTTGAACAGTTGTGGAGCCCAAGAGCTGAACTCACCTCCTCAGCCACCGTGAAGATAGTCAGCCCACCTTCACAGAAGACTAGTGCTTCATGTGGAACAGTGTTGCCACCCCCAACCAAAGCTTTGTGACATCATCAAGACTCTACTTAGGTCATTAAACCCCTCATAGTCAGTTTTCTTCCCTACTAACCCACAGAAATATCCAGCATACATGTCCTATAATGCTGCTCACACAGCCCCCTGGAGACCCAAAATAAAACCTCACTCATCTTCCCAAATACATGAGTCATATTTTGCCAGGTAACCCAATCTATATTTGTGCTTTTTCTGTAAAAAAGTCTTTGGAGTCTGAGTCTACAACTCACATGAATGATTTTTTTTCCAGCTCCAATCTCTTTATTGGTTATCTACTATTGATTTTTATATTACTTCATAATAATGAATATCAAAATTTCCACTTCGTTTCCTCCTCCCACTTTCTTCTCGCTCCCACACCAAACCTCTCCACTCCTACTCCAATTTAAATAGAGGGTCGGGTACCTTGACCTGTTTGAAGTCCAAGCCTACCCTTCATCCATCGAGATTTAGGAAGGCAAGCATCCACATAGAATATGATCACATAAAAGCCTGTATATGAAGTGCAGACAAATGTCAGTGCCATTATCATTGGCTTCTCAGTCTGGTCCAATTTTCAGCCACATTCAGAGCTTCCACTTTGATTCCATGTTCTTTCATTCCCAGGCCACTGGTTTAGTTGAAACCCCCTTTGTTCAGGCACAGTGTCTCAGTGTGTGGACCAAGCCATTTTATTCCTGACATCCTTGCTCTTATTCTCCATCAGTTGGCTATTCAACTGGAGCTTGGAAGCTCCATCTACTTTTCTGATTTTACCCTGACTTGATCTCCATCTTGGCCATACAAAAGTTCCATGGTGATATTCAAGATAGTCATCAGTCTGACTATAAGATAAGGCACCCATTGTGACTATAGACATGGCACAGTGCAGTCAACCTCTCCTCACCTGCCCAAGTTCCTCTAGGGGGTCACCCCATGCCTCTAAGAACCCCTCGAGAGATAATGATCTTGACAACCCCAGAATGGCCTACTCAATTCATATCATCAGTGTATGTGCATTAACTTGTGTGTGTGTGTGTGCGTGTGTGTGTTTAAATCACAATAAAAACAAATGGATTGTAATATTGAAATTTCTTCTCATCTTGAGAAGAATGTTTGCTACAGAAATACTGTCATAGTAGTACTGAGAGTGTAAGCTGTCTCAGCAAGGAGAAGTAACTAGAGGAATCCCCCAGGAGTTAGGTTCAGTGTCCCAGGAATTATGCCCAAGGAAAGTCAATGAACTCATGGATGGAAGATAAAACTCAGCCTAAATAACACTCCAAATCATTTAGGTGGAACATGAGATACTCTTGCAACAGTTTCAAGATGTCAAAATTGCCTGGACTAGAACATAAGGGGAACACAATGATGTGGAGCTGTGAGTGCATGACAAAACTGATTGGATCTGGCAAAAATTATGAAAGCATACCAAGGAAACCACCAGGGGGACAAAACCCTAAGAAATCTGTATGACAACATATCATGTTTACAATTCTGTGATTTTTAGACAAAGGAAAGATCCTAAATATGTCACTGCCACACTGGTGATGATTAACACATTCCATCGTAGTGTGACTCCCTGTTGTGTTTAAGATAACCTGTCAATTCTGTCTATTTAGGTACAGGGAAATTTGCATTGTTTGCAGAGATTAACTAACAGCATCATTTACTGAGAAGCAAAGGCAAGGCAAAGCAATCATAGACATGTTGTTGAATGCTGATGATGTTATTGGGAGTTTTGTGGGTATTTTTTTAAAGGGAAATCATCGGTGACTCTCATGCATGAAGAGATCCTATCTCTGTGATGTGTCTGGAAGGACTGAAATAAATAAACTAAAATAGTTTTTTTTTTTCTCACCTTCTAGTAACAATATTTTTGCTATATCCAAATAAGTGTGTTGCATGAGTTTCTTCCACTCCTTCAGCCAATAGCCACTTAGATACCAGCCCATTGAGGTGTGGCCTCTCTCTCTTTCAAAAACCAACATTTACCTTCAGCTTGATCTCTTGCTTCCAGTTTCCCTTCCGGCCTCTATGCTTCTTTCCTGATCCCGCTGAGGGCTTTTGTCAGGGATGGTCATCTGTAAGTTTTTGCCCTTTAAAGATATAATCATTCTTTTAATCACCATTCTAAACTGGTGTGGGGGATTATTTGACTAAGGAAAGGAGAAAGCATACATATAGGCAGGAAACCTTACCTTTGCAAACGACCCATTTGGAGGCCCTACTTCAGGCTCCTCTCTTCTCCTATTCTTGTTTTTTTTATTAGTTTAGGACAAGATTAAAACTTAATATAAATGTCTGTGAACACTGAATGAGTTAAGTATGTGTGACCACCTTGATGTCTGCCTGTCTGACAACAGGGGCAGAGTTCATGGGCATGTGACGCATAGCACAGGATTGTCAGCAATCAATCACTGGTCCACCTAACTCTACCGCATAAGAGTTGTCATGGTTGCTCATCTGATCCTCTTCATATGATCTCCATCCACAGAGATGTCAAAAACATCCTCCCCTGAAAAGGCAAGTTCTTTTCAAATGAAAGATTATACAGCTGATGAGACATGGAAGATTTATTAGGGCAAGCTCTTGAAAGGATAAAGTGATGGTAGTAATTCATTGCTTAATTAAATAAAGAAACTGATTCCCCTGTTAATTTAGAACATAGGTGGGAGGAGAAAGAGAACAGAATGCTGGGAGCAAGAATCAATGTGCTCAGAGACACCATGATCCACTCTCGTGGGAAGAATAGATAGCTCTCCTCTCTGAGGCAGAGGGCAATGCAGCCAGCAACCAGGTTAGACCTGTTGAATCTTTCCTGGTGAGCACACTCGTGATGCTACATAGATTATTAGAAATGGGTTAATAGGCTAAACTAATGGGCCAGGCAGTGTTTAAAAGAATCGTTTGTGTGTAATTATTTCTGGACATTAGCTAGCGAGGCTGCCCTGGTGCTGGTTTCACAGCTCTGCTGCTCAAATTACTAAGAATGGCACTTAGACATGTGGAAAACTGAATCCACTGACAGCCTGAAAAAGCCCGGGAACGAGTAAAGCATGTTTTCTTTTTAGCAGCTATATCTCGGGTCTGCACTACTTGCTAGTAGCAAGCAAGCACACTCATTTTAGAGAAGATTCCTGACTCACCTTCAGGTGCAAAACCTTGCTGCTGTTAAGTGGTCCTGCCACGAAACATTTAAATGGTGTTGATAAAAGCCTGCTGAATGCTTGTTTATTTTCAGCAGTAGCAGGAAAAAAAAACTGTGATGTTTTAAAATGCCGGAATTCTGGGCCATCCTGCCAGAACAAACTCTGACTGTTTGAGTCAGGAGGGCCAGCTACAAAGAGAGGGCTTGAGTGTTGTCTTTTGCAGCTTGTTTGATGGCAAGGAACTTGAAACACTGTAGACTTGTGGCACTGAATGCATCTCTGGCCGGTACCTCAGCCATAAGTTTGGAATGGCAGAAAGCTAAGGAATAGGCTACATCTAGCTAGCAAAGCCACCTTTTCGTCATATTGAGATTGCTGTGTAAATTAAAAATTCATGTGGTCAAAAAAACAAAGAGAGATATTGAGTAAAGAGAGATTCAAAGACAAAGAAAATTTTTTTAAATGATTTACAGTGTGTTAAAAATATGTGCAGGCTAAAAGTTGAAGTTCTTAAAGTTAAAATAAAATGAAGAGAGTTGTTGGTTGCAGTAGTACACACATTTAATCCCAACACTTGGGAGGCAGAGAGATATTGACCTCTGTAACTTCAAGGTGTGGTAGCACATACCTTTAATCCCAGTGCCGAGAAGGCAGAGACAAACAGGTCTCTGTGAATTCAGGTGTAGTACCATACACCTTTGATCCCAATGCTGGGAGGCAGAGACATGTAGATCTCTGAAACTTCAAGGACAGCCTGCTCTACAGAGTTATTCCAGGTCAAAGATACAGAGAACCTGTCTCAAAAGGCAAAAAATAAAAAGGAAAAATAAATTAGAGCTTAAATTGAAGCTAACAAAGATGGAAAATACACAGAGAATTTTGATACTGTATGCTATTGTGCTCTGTTTGAATCATTTGAAGGCTGAGGAAGGAGCAATAGCTGCTAAAAGATATTTGTTTATAAATGCTGCTGAACTAATCCCACATAGATATTTTGAAAGTGCCTTGACTTTAAAATTTGGATCTAAGGACATGATGCTTTGGAAAGGAGGTTCTTATTTTGTTTTCAGAGAGGGTGAGAGGCTGTGGACTGCCGCTATCCCAATATGGAATTACGGATCACGACTTTCCGCATATGACCTCCGTCCACGGAGATGTCAGAAAAATCCTTCCCTAAGAGGGCAAGTTCTTTAGAAATGAAAGATTATACAACAGAAGAGACATGGAAGATTTATTTGGGCAAGCTGTTGAAAGGATAAAGTGATGGAAGAAGGTCATTGCTTAATTAAATAAAGAATCTGCTTCCCTTGATAGGTTAGAACATAGGTGGGAGGAGTAAAGAGAACAGAATGCTGCTAGAAAGAGGAAGTGAGCACAGAGATGCCATGCACCCCTCTCCCGGGCAGACACGGGAGCTCTGCTCCCTGAGGCAGATGGCAATGCAGCCAGCCACCAGGTCAGACATGCTGAATCTTTCCTGGTAAGCGCAACTCATGCTGCAACATACATTATTAGAAATGGGTTAAGAGGCTGAAAATACTGGGCCAGGAAGTGTTTAAAAGAATACAGTTTTTGTGTTCTTATTTAGGGGCATAAGCTAGGTAGGCGGCCATGGTGCTGGGGATGCAGCCCCACTGGTCAAATTACTACTATAAAGGGGGGAATTGAAGAAGGGAAGGAAGAATAGAGAGAGAGAGAGAGAGAGAGAGAGAGAGAGAGACAGAGAGAGATGGAAGAATGGATGAATTCAATTATTCATTGGAAAAATGAGTGAACCAAAGAATGAGGAGACCTAGAAGGATAAAATGTGCTGCATTCCCTGTGAGAGTCAGGTCATATGAAAGATGGACATTGTTTTGCACTGAGGAGGAGGATTTTTCCATTTTGCCTTCTTTGTGCTCCAAGCCCAGCCACAAGAGTGATGATGAGGACTGGGAGAAGAAGAGGTAAGGGTGTACCAGAATTCCCTGGTATAAGTTATCACCCAAATTGTAGCCAAATCACCTGACCTGAGACAGCTGATCTACATGCTGGACCCTAACTGGCAGTTTGACAACTCTAACATTTTAACCAAGTTTGTGAAGATCAAGGAAGCAAAAATCGCCCCGTTACAGGATGGCAGGATCCTTACATGATGGGAGTCAGACATCAATACCATACTGGTATTTGGGGGTCTGATGGGTTTGTGGGGTCTTTGCCACACTCCACCTAGCATCCGGGATTCCCTCGTTTACTGATTTGATGGAGATCGGTGCATTCATCATATGTGTGCATGTCACACATTAGTGGGCATCAATGTGTACATGTTTATCCTGTGTGTGGATGCGTCTGTCTATGAGATTTATAGCCCAAGTCCTACAGAACATGATCAATTTTAGGGAACACTGTTTTCCAGATATGACAGGGCAATTATTTAAATGAACTCACAAGAATTGGATGGCATGCAAAGGACCAATGAGAGTTCAAGGAATACCGAATCCAGGCATGACAAAGTAGGTGGCAGACAGAATTCTGACAAAAGGAAGTAGATAGTGTGACGTCCATCCCACTGCAGAAGAGCAACTGGGCGGAGACACTTTTCTCTAAGCAGGAGGCTCCTGGTCACTCAACATGCTCCAGTGGAGTTCAAATATCCAGTGACTTACAGCCAGTACGAATTAAACTATTCATCAAATGAAACCTAATTTCCTCTGATTTTGAGTATACATTTGTGTCCCTTCCTGATTAATCTACTCTTTATCCTCTTAAGTCCCCATACCTCACTCTGATATCTGTCACATCTTTCCAGTTGACATGTTTTTCCCTCAAGCTTCATTCCGCCCCGAGATCCTACAACTTTTGTCCCCTCTCCACTACTCCCTAGACAGCCATCTTGTCCTTTACCACACCAAGCATTCCCAGTCCATCCTCTCCAAGGGGAAAGACCATAAATCCTGCTTTGTTTTTAGGCATGTATTTCTGTGATGTCCCATCCACCAAACATAATCCATCATTCACCAAAGAACATAACATGTTCACAAATTTTTATTTTTCGAGCAAGAATATTCCATTGGAAGAAAATACCAGGATTAATAGAAGACCTGCGGTATCTCTGAAAAAAAACACATTCCCCAAACACAGATTTACGTGTGCCCCTCAAATTTTGAGAATTTCACTTTAACAGATCTTTACCAAATCGTAGACATAGATATGGAAGTCATTATTAAACTTGATGAAATACAGAGAAGGTTTGGTGGGAACTTGGCAAATAATTTTACCTATCTCTTGGGTTCCATCTTTTTTGTTGTACTGCACACCTTTGCCTGCCAAGGAATCCCTGCCAAATTCCAAAGTCACCTCTTCTGGAGGACATTCAGGCATGATGTGGACGTTGCCTTCAATGGAGTCATCAAGATGGTGGTAAAGGTACAGGACTGGATCATTCTCCTTGACAATGTAGAAACAGGTCATCCTGGTCTGCACCTCATCTGGGACCATGACACTGCACTCCTCCTTAGAGCCTGGCATGATGTGGAGGTTGCCTTCAAGGGAGTCATCCAGGAGGTGGTAAATATACAAGACCGGATCTTTCTTGTAGGTAATATAGAACCAGGTCTTCATGATTGGCACCTCCTCTAGGACCATCCCATTCCAGTCTTCCTTAGAGCCATTTGTGCCCGTGAATGTATGTTTCACTGCTCTGCCAACTATGGTGTTTGACAGATGAGTGTCTGTCACCTGAGGAAATGGCACATTATTAGGCAGGATCTTAAGGTTTAAAATCCTTTCATCGCTGTGAAGCTCCAAGCCATAGACACAATCAATCCCATCATATTTCAACAAATAGAGAGAGGGATATGTTGGCAGTTGATCTAGAATGATGGCTTTCCACTGGGTGACTGGTTCATTGGCTTCCTTCCAGCCATGAGAAATTCGGTGGCCAACAATATACTCCAGGGCCTCAAAAGGCTTACTCAGTTTTTGCTTCTGGAGAGTTGGCCCATTCTTCTTCTGGAGAGGTGGCATGCATCTCATACTAAGAGGCATCTTTATCATGGTGGTAGATTTACTGAGATAGGCCACAACACTCCTGTTCCACTGTCTCTTGGCTCTCTTTCTGTGCTTGGGCTTCATAGCTGCCAATCTCTGCATTGGAAGAATTCTTCAGTTTCAATCAGACACAAAGTGGTTTCCTCCACCATAAGTGCCTGCAAGGTTAAGAAGGGGAGGATGTGATGTCAAGATTCTTTTCTGGAAGATCTTTGGGGAAGGTGATAAAGGCAGTGCTGAATAGATTTGGGCTGCCTAAATGTAATTTGGTCTTAAGAAATTCATAGGAAAATTATCAAACTATTGTCTACAGCTCAGTATATGTGTATCAGAGACATATTCCTGCTGCCCAAAGGCAATGGACCTCTCCTGAGAAACATAATTCCAGACTGACTGTGTCAATGAGAGGAGACTGGATGCCTATGCCCAAAGTGAGAAAGAAAAATCTGAACAGATGGCAAAGAATTTGAAGGACAGCCACTTCTTTCCTTCCCACTCAAGCTGTTGGTTAGGTGGTTGATCCAAAACCACCTGCCCAAGGTCATGGCACTCCAGTCCACTGGTTCTATGTATTGTGTCTCCTGATCCATACCCAGGTTTATTACATAAAGCCATTCCATGTCTTCACTAGAGAAGTGAGTTTTGTGAGACAAACTGCAAAAATAAAGACTCATTAATCTGGGCAACAGCACCATTTAGAAATAATTAATATCTTTTAAAACACATATGGACAAAGAGGATCTTCGCCCCTTTCGTGAACTGATGAATTGGACATTGATAGCAAAGATAAAGTGGGAAGAATACCTGGCATTCACTGTCCCCACAGCTATCAAATATAGAAGCTGTTAACAACATACATTTTAGACTCACAGGAGATTTGAAGGAAACCTCTCTGGGACTACAGAGGTCCCAGTTTCTTCCTAAACATATTTACCAAAAGTAAATGTCTTGTCTCTCCAGATTCCATCTTCTGGAAATGTTCAGCTGCCTAATCCTGTTGAACAGTTGTGGAGCCCAAGAGCTGAACTCACTTCCTCAGCCACCGTGAAGATAGTCAGCCCACCTTCACAGAAGACTAGTGCTTCATGTGGAACAGTGTTGCCACCCCCAACCAAAGCTTTGTGACATCATCAAGACTCTACTTAGGTCATTAAACCCTTCATTGGCAGTTTTCTTCCCTACTAACCCACAGAAATATCCAGCATACATGTCCTATAATGCTGCTCACACAGCCCCCTGGAGACCCAAAATAAAACCTCACTCATCTTCCCAAATACATGAGTCATATTTTGCCAGGTAACCCAATTTCTTTTTGTGCCTTTTCTGTAAAAGAGTCTTTGGTGTCTGAGTCAACAACTCACATGAATATTTTTTTTCTAGCTCCAATCTCTTTATTGGTTATCTACTATTGATTTTTATATTACTTCATAATAATGAATATCAAAATTTTTACTTCGTTTCCTCCTCCCACTTTCTTCTCACTCCCCCACCAAACCTCTCCACTCCTACTCCAATTTAAATTGAGGGCGGGGTACCTTGACCTGTTTGAAGTCCAAGCCTACCCTTCATCCATCGAGATTTAGGAAGGCAAGCATCCACATAGAATATGATCACAAAAAAGCCAGTATATGAAGTGCAGACAAATGTCAGTGCCATTATCATTGGCTTTTCAGTCTGGTCCAATTGTCAGCCACATTCAGAGCTTCCACTTTGATTCCATGTTCTTTCATTCCCAGGCCACTGGTTTAGTTGAAACCCCCTTTGTTCAGGCACAGTGTCTCAGTGTGTGGACCAAGCCATTTTATTCCTGACATCCTTGCTCTTATTCTCCATCAGTCGGCTATTCAACTGGAGCTTGGAAGCTCCATCTAGTTTTCTGATTTTTACCCTGACTTGATCTCCATCTTGGCCATACAAAAGTTCCATGGTGATATTCAAGATAGTCATCAGTCTGACTATAGGATAAGGCACCCATTGTGACTATAAACATGGCACAGTGCAGTCAACCTCTCCTCACCTGCCCAAGTTCCTCTAGGGGGTCACCCCATGCCTCTAAGAACCCCTCGAGAGATAATGATCTTGACAACCCCAGAATGGCCTACTCAATTAATATCATCAGTGTATGTGCACTAACTTGTGTGTGTGTGTGTGTGCGTGTGTGTGTTTAAATCACAATAAAAACAAATGGATTGTAATATTGAAATTTCTTCTCATCTTGAGAAGAATGTTTGCTACAGAAATACTGTCATAGTAGTACTGAGAGTGTAAGCTGTCTCAGCAAGGAGAAGTAACTAGAGGAATCCCCAGGAGTTAGGCTCAGTGTCCCAGGAATTACGCCCAAGGAAAGTCAATGAACTCATGGATGGAAGATAAAACTCATCCTAAATAACACTCCAAATTATTTAGGTGGAACATGAGATACTCTTGCAACAGTTTCAAGATGTCAAAAATGCCTGGACTAGAACATAAAGGGAACACAATGATGTGGAGCTGAGAGTGCATGGCAAAACTGATTGGATCTGGCAAAAATTATGGAAGCATACCAATGAAATCACCAGGGGGACAAAACCCTAAGAAATCTGTATGACAACATATCATGTTTACAATTCTGTGATTTTTAGACAAAGGAAAGATCCTAAATATGTCACTGCCACACTGGTGATGATTAACCCATTCCATCATAGTGTGACTCCCTGTTGTGTTTAAGATAACCTGTCAATTCTGTCTATTTACGTACAGGGAAATTTGCATTGTTTGCAGAGATTAACTAACAGCATCATTTACTGAGAAGCACAGGCAAGGCAAAGCAATCATAGACATGTTGTTGAATGCTGATGATGTTATTGGGAGTTTTGTGGGTATTTTCTTAAAGGGAAATCATCGGTGACTCTCATGCATGAAGATACCCAATCTCTGTGATGTGTCTGAAAGGACTGAAATAAAGAAACTAAAATAGTTTTATTTTCTCAACTTCTAGTAACATTTATTTGCTATATCCAAATAAGTGTGTTGCATGAGTTTCTTCCACTCCTTCAGCCAATAGCCACTGAGATACCAGCCCATTGAGGTGTGGTCTCTCTCTCTTTCAAATACCAACACTTACCTTCAGCTTGATCTCTTGCTTCCAGTTTCACTTCCGGCCTCTATGCTTCTTTCCGGATCCCGCTGAGGGCTTTTGTCAGGGATGGTCATCTGTAAGTTTTTGCCCTTTAAAGATATAATCATTCTTTTAATCACCATTCTAAACTGGTTTGGGGGATTTTTTGACTAAGGAAAGGAGAAAGCATACATAGAGGCAGGAAACCTTACCTTTGCAAATGACCCATTTGGAGGCCCTACTTCAGGCTTCTCTCTTCTCCTATTCTTGTTTTTTTTATTAGTTTAGGACAAGATTAAAACTCAATATAAATGTCTGTGAACACTGAATGAGTTAAGTATGTGTGACAACCTTGATGTCTGCCTGTCTGACAACAGGGGCAGAGTTCATGGGCATCTGACGCATAGCACAGGATTGTCAGCAATCAATCTCTGGTCCACCTAACTCTACAGCATAAGAGTTGTCATGGTTGCTCATCTGATCCTCTTCATATGATCTCCATCCACAGAGATGTCAAAAAAATCCTCCCCTGAAAAGACAGAGAACCTGTCTCAAAAGGCAAAAAATAAAAAGGAAAAATAAATTAGAGCTTAAATTGAAGCTAACAAAGATGGAAAATACACAGAGAATTTTGATACTGTATGCTATTGTGCTCTGTTTGAATCATTTGAATGCTGAGGAAGGAGCAATAGCTGCTAAAAGATATTTGTTTATAAATGCTGCTGAACTAATCCCACATAGATTTTGAAAGTGCCTTGACTTTAAAATTTGGATCTAAGGACATGATGCTTTGGAAAGGAGGTTCTTATTTTGTTTTCAGAGAGGGTGAGAGTCTGTGGACTGCCACTATCCCAATATGGTATTACGGATCACGACTTTCCTCATATGACCTCCGTCCACGGAGATGTCAGAAAAATCCTTCCCTAAGAGGGCAAGTTCTTTACAAATGAAAGATTATACAACAGAAGAGACATGGAAGATTTCTTTGGGCAAGCTGTTGAAAGGATAAAGTGATGGAAGAAGGTCATTGCTTAATTAAATAAAGAATCTGCTTCCCTTAATTGGTTAGAACATAGGTGGGAGGAGTAAAGAGAACAGAATGCTGCTAGAAAGAGGAAGTGAGCTCAGAGATGCCATGCACCCCTCTCCTGGGCAGACACGGGAGCTCTGCTCCCTGAGGCAGATGGCAATGCAGCCAGCCACCAGGTCAGACATGCTGAATCTTTCCTGGTAAGTGCACCTCATGCTGCAACATACACTATTAGAGATGGGTTAAGAGGCTGAAAATACTGGGCCAGGAAATGTTTAAAAGAATACAGTTTTTGTGTTCTTATTTAGGGGCATAAGCTAGGTAGGCGGCCATGGTTCTGGGGACGCAGCCCCACTGGTCAAATTACTACTATAAAGGGGGGAATTGAAGAAGGGAAGGAAGAAGAGAGAGAGAGAGAGAGAGAGAGAGAGAGAGAGATGGAAGAATGGATGAATTCAATCATTCATTGGAAAAATGAGTGAACCAAAGAATGAGGAGACCTAGAAGGATAAAATGTGCTGCATTCCCTGTGAGAGTCAGGTCATATGAAAGATGGACATTGTTTTGCACTGAGGAGGAGGATTTTTCCATTTTGCCTTCTTTGTGCTCCAAGCCCAGCCACAAGAGTGATGATGAGGACTGGGAGAAGAAGAGGTGAGGGTGTACCAGAATTCCCTGGTATAAGTTATCACCCAAATTGTAGCCAAATCACCTGACCTGAGACAGCTGATCTACATGCTGGACCCTAACTGGCAGTTTGACAACTCTAACATTTTAACCAAGTTTGTGAAGATCAAGGAAGCAAAAATCGCCCCGTTACAGGATGGCAGGATCCTTACATGATGGGAGTCAGACATCAATACCATACTGGTATTTGGGGGTCTGATGGGTTTGTGGGGTCTTTGCCACACTCCACCTAGCATCCGGGATTCCCTCGTTGACTGATTTGATGGAGATCGGTGCATTCATCATATGTGTGCATGTCACACATTAGTGGGCATCAATGTGTACATGTTTATCCTGTGTGTGGATGCGTCTGTCTATGAGATTTATAGCCCAAGTCCTACAGAACATGATCAATGAAAGGGAACACTGTTTTCCAGATATGACAGGGCAATTATTTAAATGAACTCACAAGGGTTGGATGGCATGCAAAGGAACAATGAGAGTTCAAGGAATACCGAATCCAGGCATGACAAAGTAGGTGGCAGACAGAATTCTGACAAAAGGAAGTAGATAGCGTGACGTGCATCCCACTGCAGAAGAGCATCTGGGCGGAGACACTTTTCTCTAAACAGGAGGCTCCTGGTCACTCAACATGTTCCAGTGGAGTTCAAACATCCAGTGACTTACAGCCAGTACGAATTAAACTATTCATCAAATGAAACCTAATTTCCTCTGATTTTGAGTATACATTTGTGTCCCTTCCTGATTAATCTACTCTTTATCCTCTTAAGTCCCCATACCTCACTCTGATATCTGTCACATCTTTCCAGTTGACATGTTTTTCCCTCAAGCTTTATCCCGCCCCGAGATCCTACAACTTTTGTCCCCTCTCCACTACTCCCTAGACAGCCATCTTGTCCTTTACCACACCAAGCATTCCCAGTCCATCCTCTCCAAGGGGAAAGACCATAAATCCTGCTTTGTTTTTAGGCATGTATTTCTGTGATGTCCCATCCACCAAACCTAATCCATCATTCACCAAAGAACAAAACATGTTCACAAATTTTTATTTTTCAAGCAAGGATATTCCATTGGAAAAAAATACCAGGATTAATAGAAGACCTGCGGTATCTCTGAAAAAAAAAAACACATTCCCCAAACACAGTTTTACGTG